AACTTGGGCCAGTGAAGCAATGTCCTCCACAACTAGACTGAAGAACAAAACAACAGCAACTTGTCTGTTCCCCTTCCCCCAATTCCCCAGCGCTGTTCCAATCCTCCAATTCCCCAATAAAAATCTTTAAAAAAAAAAAAAAAGATTTTCAAAGAAACTATGGACCTTCTAAGCTTAGGCTTCTCAACTATCTGTGCATACAGATCAGATCTTGTTAAAATGGAGATTCTGACTGAGTAGACCTGGGGCGGGGCTGAGGTTCTGCATCTCTCATCTTGGTCCAGGTGAGGCTGCCGCTGCTGCTGGGCAAAGCACCTGGGGTACTAAGGTCTAGGCCGCATCTAAACTCAAAACAAGGAAGCGCATTGCAATTTGGGTTTGAAGCCTCATGCTACCAGTCTCTCACTTGGGCAACAGCCTTACCCTACACAGGCCTCAATTCCTTCTCCCACAAAATGAGGATGATGAGAATCACACGTTTATGAGATTTTCTTTTTATGATGACTTTATGACATAATCCATGTAAAATAATAGGGTGATTAACAAAGTGCGGTAGCTATTATGTTAGCTATTAGCTATTATTATACATTTGTCATGGGATAATGAGTGAAGAAAGTGGACTGAACATGTAAGATTTTCAATAATTGGGACAAGGCACATTGAAAAGAATACTATAAACAAATGAGGTGAAAAAAAAGGAGCCCACCTTCTACTTTGCAGTCGAAAGCGTCCCCTGCTTCATCTCCAGGGGGTTTGGAGTTCGCCTTTTGAAGGTCTTCTTGTGCGCTCTCAATGCTATTATAAACCCATTGGATGGAATCTTGCTGGAAATGAGGAAGGAAAAAAAAAAACCTCAGAGGTATTAGGGCTTCCTAAAATGCACATCCACGTCATAAACCTGCTTCAGAAGGAGAGTTGGCCGTCTTATTTATTCTTCTAGCTTGCTTAAAAATAATAACACTTGAAAGAGAAAGAAAATCTACATCTGAAAGTCAATGGCAACTATACTGTTCAACAACTGACTTGATGAAGCTTGAAATTTTATCTCCCGAAGATTTGTTTTTAAATAAGATGGATTTCCCAAATGTCTTACTTAACCGCCTCATGTATATCTTAAAATGAATTATGAATTATATTTAAATAAATAAATGTTAGATGCATAGTTTTCCAAAGAAACACTCATCTATAATTGTACAACTTAAATGCTCTCCTAAGAGTCACATATATTTTAATACACTTAATGCTCTTTTGAATCAAATCAATAAAAAAATTGGAAGAACATCTTCCATCTCATTGGGTTCCCAAGTGATGTAACTACCTTTTAATCCTCCCATGTCATAAATCATCCTACACTTTAATTGAAATAGCAGTTCCAGTCTTATTTAGATAAATGAGAGAGATGAAATGGCAACTAAGTGAATGCTTTCACGGTTGCATTACTTGAAATTTATACTTTCCCCCCATAAGATGATAAATTGAATTGCACTACTGAAGTGTGATATAATTTGTACTTCCATTTTTCTCTTATATTTTTAACTTCTCAATTGTATTTAATTATTATATTGCTATACATCATTAAAATGCTAGTTAATATTTGATTATTCACATACATCAGTTTGGCCTCTGATAAACCCCATCCCCCAGTATCCACACTGTAGTTCCTTTCCACACTGACCCTGGGCTTGGTCATGTAATCTGAATTTTCCAAAGGGATATTAGTAAGCATGATGTAAATAGAGGGTCGATCGCTTATAATATCCCCTCTTGAAATCCAGACACCATGCAGAAAGAAAAATCCTGCTAATGACTAGAAAGGAGAGCCATGTGGAGGACCCTTGGAGAGAGAGGCCCCCAGCGGGGAACTGGAGTGCCCAGTCAATCCCAGTAGAATGCAGACATGTCAGTCAGTGCCCTCACAGGAACCAACACCCGATCAACCCACAGAGCCAAGAGAAAGAATCAATGACTGTTGTTATAAGCCAGAAAGTTGTGGCACAGTCTGCTTTACGGCAATGGATACCTCATAGAGCATGTTAGTCATTTAGTAAACTTTTCTGGTCATTTATTGTTTTTCTTTTTCTTTTTTTCCATTCAATAAGTATTTTATTTTTATTCTTATTATTTTTTATTAGTTTCAGGTGTAAAAAACAATGTAATAGCTAAACATTTACACCCCTCACAAAGTGACACCCCCTCAATCTACTACCCTTCTGATGTCATATATAGCTGTTACGATTCCATTGGCTCTATTCCCTATGCTGTACTCCACATCCTGTGACTATATATATTCATTTATAGTTCACATTCAGTATTATTCAGCTTCAGCTTCAGGTGTACAGTGCAGTGGTCAGGCACCTACACGGTCCATGAAGTGGTCTCCTAATAAGTGTCCACCGGATACCCTACAAAATCTTTACAACATTTTTGATTATATTCCCCAAACTGCCTTTAGTATACAATATTATTTTTCTTAATAATTTTACTGAAAAATACCTCTCCAAGAAGGCAGGCAGGGAAAACAAAAAGGAATAAAACTCAAATCCAGGGCCGGCCGAGTGGCACGTTGGTTAAGAGCTGGCTGGGGATGCCAGAGGGCCCTGGTTCGGATCCCACATATGAGGGCCAGTGACACTGCCCTCCACAGCTAAGATGCTGAACAACAGCTCAACCTGGAGCTGGGCTGCCGTGAGTCGCCAGCAATGGCAGGTGGGTTGCCATGGGCTACCGTGTGTAGCCAGCAGCCGCAGTGAGCGGCCGTCCAGAAGCCGGCGACTGATCTGCCTCGCCCGGGAAGAGCGCAATGATGGTGCCAACTTGGGCCAGTGAAGCAATGTCCTCCACAACTAGACTGAAGAACAAAAGGACAGCAACTTGTCTATTCCCCTTCCCCCAATTCCCCAATAAAAATCTTAAAAAACTCAAATCCATTTGGTTCCTTATCAAAATTCTGATAGGAGGGGAAAATTTTGACAATTTCTGAAGTGTCCTTTTTAAAAATTCACTCAATCATACAGTTCAGTAAATATTTATTAAACTACTTACTATCAACAAGAATAACCTATGCATTTGTGTGCGAATTCCAATTTGCTATTCTAGTTTGACCTTATGAGTTAGCAAAATTGATGAGTTATTTCTTGTAGGTTTGTTATTCCTCAGGATGTCAGTCCCGGCCTATGAGAAAACAGCCATTCATCTTTCTGGCTTAGACATCAAGTCAGAGTCTCAAATCCAGAAGACAGTACATCACTGCATGACAGAAAAAATACAAAGCCTCTCCTTTAAAATTTTTTGCATTTAAAGTCTTTTAGTTGATTGAGAGAATTTTCTCCTATAGTTCAATACTCACTTGTTCCTCATGAGATAATAAGCTTTGCTTATAAATTAGGATTGTAATTTTATTTTTCTACAGCACTTTGAAATTTGGATCTGAGGACAGTGCTTAAAATTTTAAATAATGACAAGTGCATTTTGGTATTTTCTTTTCAGAGCTAAGTTCAATCACCTAAATAAATATATCTAAAAATCAATTGCAGACCCTGTGAAATTATTATTAAAACATTCTAATAATAAACATACAGACACAGGATGACTATTACAGATTCTAGTGCGATCACAAGGGTCAAGAAAACAGTTGAAACCTTTGGATTTCAATTTGATAAACAGTGAGCTATTTGAAAACTCCTATCACCATAAAAATGAAAATACCCCAGAGCACTTTTTAAACAGATGATAATGCTGCAACAATAAAACGTAATCATTTAAGCATAATCAGTTACAACTAATTACGCAAACAAAGCAATCATGATGAAATTTACAATGCTGGGCATCAATGTGAATGAACCTGGAAGTGGAGACCACAGACATCTCTGGTGGGAATCCTATCTTGTCCCCTGGGGTTTCTTTGCAAGTGTGCCATTTGCTCTGGATAAGCTGGAAGGCGGCTTACCTTCATTGGTCTCCTGTATTTCCGGCAGGCTGTGACATGTGCGATGACACTGGCATGTGTCTCTTTGCTGACATTGACCCCATTGACTTTGATAATACACTGTCCGGGGTGAAGACCAGCGGCTGCAGCCACAGTTCCTTTAAACGCAAATGAGAAAATTGTCAAAAACTAATTTTAGAAATAAGATGTGGATCATCACATCTGCAATAAGGAAAGCAACTTTGTAATAAAGACCTACCTAGCTAGTATGTTTTTGATAAATTTGGATGTAAGAGCAATGCCCTCTCAAAATTTTTAACAGGCCATTCAAACTGTGATAACAGATACCTTCCCACCTTCCTAAGAATTAGTTTAAAGGGATATTGTAAAGTAACCTTTATAATGCTAATCAGTTATTTGCCCTTTCAAATGTCTGCTCAATCTCATTTTCTACATATGCATATGTAATGGCAAAAAAAAACCGAAAAAGCCAGAAACGTGTGCCTTATTTATCTTTCTTTAATTTACAAAATCTCTAAAAATTAAAATAGTACTCACTTTCACTTTTTAAAATGCCAATAATTAAATTCTTAAGAAAAAAAAATCAAGTCAATTAGCAACTACAAATAGACTGGATTTGCTAAGAAAATAAGAGCTCAGGAATATGTACAAAGGGTTGGGAACCAGAAAATTGATGAAGAATAAAATTAATCAGATAATATCAACTATCCACTTATTTGCATCCATATAAACTTTAATATGGAAGTGGCATAGCCTAACCTGTGAGTTAAGATTTTCAGAACCTCCCAATCACTATTATTTGATATTCTGAGCAAATCAACATTTACAAAGTCTTATTAATACAATGAATATAATTAATATAAATTACTGTCAAGCTTATTATAAGGATGTTAGAAGAGCCTTTCTTTATAAGCAATTTCTGCCATGAAGGAGTCATGAAACTTCTTGAACAAGATAATTCATATTCAAGAAAACAATACGTATTTTCTTCTCACTAAAATTCACTCCCAGGAATACCAAGTGGCTTTCCTGGATTGAACCAAGTCTTGGTGGAGAGAGGGACATTCTCAATAGAAAGAACAGCTTGAAAAAACCCAGAATGAAGAAATGAACTGGATATTTGGGAACATATAAGCAGTTGGTGTGAGCTTAGAATGGGAGTGGGTGAAGAAGATGGTGGACAGCTGAGCACAGAGCCTGGATGTGAAGTCCTTGTGTGCTTTGTGTGAAGTCCCAAGAGTCTGAACCTTACTACATATGGAAGAGGAAAAACATCTAAAACTTTTAAGCAGAGATGTGACATGATTACCCCCCAAATCATTGTTGTTTCAGTCCAAAAGTCAGAATCACAGCACCTACTGCAATTTTCCAGGCTAGAGCTAAGATAGCATTAGTTACAAAGGGGAGAATGAGCAGGTATTTGATGTTTGATGGTGGCGTTTATGTAGAGACTACAGTATCCAGGACCCCTCCTGGGCCGTGAGACTCAGTGGCTCAGTATATGGAGTCATTCAAATAAAGAGAGAATACAGAAGGTAAAGCAGCTTCCAAGAATTGATGAAAAGTTACATTGGGGATAATACTGAGTTTTAAGGTGCCAAAGGGGCACTCAGGTGTATGTGTTTCATGAACAATTTGTTCTAGGCTGTAGAACTCAGGACAGAGATCAGGGCTGGAGGCAGAAAGTTCAGAAATCCCCAGCAAAGAGGATCAACAAGATTGCTTCTGAAGAGCAAGAAGGCAGAGAAGGGGAGGGGGCACCAACAGTTAAGAGGTCAATAGATAAAAAGAGCTGGCAGAGGAGGGGTAGGAGAAAAGTCTGACAAGCGCCATCTCAGAAATCAAGAGATGAAGGGTTTAAGCAAATGGCAGTGGTCAGTTTAAACAAATGCCAGACAAAGCTCAATTAAAACAAGGATTATCAATGTCCATTGTCTTTTCCAGTTAAGTCCAGGATAACTCTTACAACACAGACTCTGGAGATGTGGGTGGGAGGTGGGAAGGGACGTCTGCAGCATTGAGATAAAATTCAAATAAGAAGTGAGAAAGAGTGGGCCAAAACACAGGCCACCATTTCAGGAAGTTTGGCTAGGACAAAAATAAAAGTTATTAGAGCATCATTCTGGAGCTGAGCTGCTCAATCATTGCCATCCATACATATCACCTGGGGAGCTCATGAAAATATAGACTCTGACTCAGTATTTCCTGGGTGGGGCCTGAGATGCTGCATAACGAGTTCCCAGGTAGTACCGATGCTGTAGGTCTGGGGACCACACTTTGAGTAGCAAGGATCGAGAGAGGAGAACCAGGAAGGGGAGGTTTTGTGTTTTGTGTTTGCTGTTCTAGTTTAAGATGGTTTTCTTTCTTTGTTGATTTTAATGAGAAAGAACTGAACATGTGTATAGCTGGTAATCCAATAAAAAGGTTGAAATTCTGGAAGGGGATATCTGATCGTGCACTACGCCAGAGGTGGTATCTGAAGGGATGGGATCCAGAACATTTGTAGGGATCAGCCTTGAACTCCAGAAAGGGAAAAAAAAGGCCTCTTCCTCTAGGATGGGAGATAAGTTGGTGATGGTGACAGAGCCAGCAACATGTGTGCAGAAAAGGGTGTGGGACTCTGAGGGCTTCATACCTGGTGGCCTGAATTTGTCTGTGAGGTGAAAAAGGAAATGCATCTTGGGAGATAGGAGGCAGTTATAAGGAGCTGAATGAAGACACATCAAAAGATTGCTGAGTAGTAATACGGGGCCAGTATAAGACAAGACAGTAAAGTGGATGACACTAATTCCATATCCATGATTTTTTTTTTTTTTCTAGCTACTCAGGAGAAAGAACAAAGAAGGTGCTTAGGTTGATCTGGCCTGGATGTCCCTGAAATGCGATGGCTTGGATGCACCCGAGGGGTAAGGACGAGAGGATCTTTATGATGCTGGCAAGAGACGGAGGGGACCCACCCTGGGGATAGGGCTGGCTGTTATCCCCTGAAGGAAGTGGAGTCTTGAGGGGTGTAACTGACCAGGAGGAAAAGAGAAGGATCCAAAGAATGGCGGTTCCTCCAGCAGAATTGAAAAACAACCTGAGAATATCCAAGTGATAGGAAACCAAAATGAGAGATTCCAAAAGGTGACATTCCAGTTATTGATATACTCTAGTGGGTGCCCATGGAAGGGTGGAAGAATAAAAATGATAAAGGCTTTTTTTTTTTCTTTATGGCAAAAATATAGTGCAAAAAGAAACCACAGACTAATAATACCTTTTCAGTTCATGTACAGCTGAGAGAAAAAGCACATGAGTGTTTCTGACTTTTACTCTTCATAAGCAAAAAGCATAGTGACTAGACTTGGGCCTAGCCTAAGTGACAAAGACAGAATCTTGCTCTTTAAATGATATTGTAATGGGAAGAGAAGTACAACTTGATTTAATAAGGTTTTCAGTTATGAGATAGTACTAATAATGTGACTTACTCTTTTTTGCTTTAGTAAAAATGAAGATATCTGATGTATAAAATATCCCATTTCAGTATGAAATACTGGGGGTGCCAAAAAAATGTATACAAGTGGACACTTTGGTCAGTGTTGCTCAAGCAGTAGTTCTCCATCATCATAAGTGCCTGGACACTGATGTTCAACACTTCGAGTACCCTTATAACTGCATAAGTCAAACGTGACTTATGTTCATCTTTTGTTATCGGTATATATTATTATAATTTTAATAGTTTTTTCCTTTCTTAAAATGTATATACATTTTTTTGGCACCCTCTGTATATCCCATTTCAGTTTTATAGTATTAATAAGTTGTTGGAAAGGTTTTAAACATCTATTAATCTGCATGTTTCAAAAATCTGAATGAAAAGACAAGTTTTTGAAAAAAGATTCATTTTTATCATACGCACACCAATGAAAGCAAATTTATAATCTAATAAAGGTCTAGCAAGTATGTTCTTGATAAATTGGATTCTGATAGCAATGCCTTCTCAAGACTTCCCAGTCTAATGTTTGGGTGATCACATTAACATGCTTTACATTCGGGACAGTCGAGTGGCGCTATGGTTAAGAACTGGCTTGGGACGCCAGAGGGACCCGGTTTGGATCCCACATATGAGGGCCAGTGACACTGCCCTCTACAGCTAAGATGCTGAACAACAGCTCAACCTGGAGCTGGGCTGCCGTGAGTCACTGGTGACAGCGGAGGCTGCAGCCCCTGCTGCAGTGGGCTGCCGTGAGTCGCTGGTGACAGCGGAGGCTGCAGCCCCTGTGGCAGTGGGTTGCCATGGGCTACCGTGTGTAGCCAGCAGCCAGCGTGAGCGGCTAGCAGCCGCAGTGAGCAGCTGTCCAGAAGCCGGCGACTGATCTGCCTCGCCTGGAAAGAGCGCAATGATGGTGCCAACTTGGGCCAGTAAAGCAACGTCCTCCACAGCTAGACTGAAGAACAAAAGGACAGCAACTTGTCTGTTCCCCTTCCCCCAATTCCCCAACGCTGTTCTCATCCCCCAATTCCCCAATAAAAATAAAATAAAATGCTTTACATTTTATGTTTCCTAGTAATGAAAAGCATGTATGTTTCTTGATAAGATAAGCACATGTCCTCTTAGGTTTATAGTGACATTTCTTGCTATAGCAGCAAGTTATTTACTATGTTTGGTAATGTAAAGTTATTTACTATGTTTGGTAATGTGTTAAGGGAACAGTTATTCCCTTAAATCATTACTATTGTTAATATAAAATTTAAAAATACATATGATAATAAGAGATATCAGTTGCTGATTTGCCCATAAAACAAGAAGAATAAAATATAAACATAAGTTTTTAGTCATTAAAATTATTTAATGTAAAATGTATTATATTTTTATAGGAATACTTGAAGTAACCATACAGCAATATGCTATAGAGACCACAGGTCATTCTTAAACCTTAAAACTCGCATCTTTGAATTACTGACAAAAATAAAATGATTTGCTGTCAGAGAAAAATACAAATAGATGACCTTAAAATTATTATATCCTTTGGCTTAATTGAAGCGTACAGAAAAGTGATTTGGGAAGGCATCATTCACTTACAACTTTTTAACAATGATAAATATGCCTTATGATTTTCAAGAATTTTAAAAGATTTTAAGAAAGTACTACTATTGAGCTAATACAGTAAAAACGTGACTGAGAAAATTCATAACGACATGATTTGGCACGTTTTAAACATCTTCCTGTTCAGCAAAGAGTATCAGAATATGCTGGGAAGCTGTTTCCCTCGCAGACCGAATTTCTCACCTCTTCCTACTGCGTGCACAACGGATGGCCCATACCCTCGGATCTGGAATCCAAGTCCCTCAGCTGAATCTGGGATTTTCACTGTCCTAAAATCAATCAGAAAATAAGGTGAGCTGACTTTTTAAACGCCACAATTGGTTAAAGCAATAGGTTGTCCATACCTTTATTCATCCTTTCAACAAATTTGTATCAAGGGTCTATCAGGTGAAAGACTCTGGACTAGGAACCCTTGAAGGAGGCATCCTGGCATGTGCCCTCACAGAGGCACACAGCAGGCAGGCAAAACAGAGTTGTTCACTTGAACTTAGGGATTGGATAGTATATCCTGAACCAGGAACAGGCTCTGGGCGCAGACAAACCTAGCTCTGAATCCTCATGTACTCATTTGATAGTTCGATACCTTGGATGAGCTCCTTAATTTCTCTGAGCATGAATGTAAGATGTGATGTTAAAACTTGCTTTGCAGGATGTCGGTGGCAATTACAAGAGATACCTTCAGAACACTGCCCTGCATTGTGCTATGAACTAGGTAGGTACTTAACAAAATGAAAGCTCCTCTCCTTAATTTACTGTGACAAAGAAGACATCAGTGCACTAGAAAGTTTCTTTGTTAAAATTAATATGAAAGAAACCGAGTTCATCCATTTCTACCTGTTGGGAACTTCATCAAAGTACAAAAACAAAGAGCTCATTATAAAGAACAGATGCGTCAAACACTGCATCAAAGTAATTGAAGAATAGGATTAACTTTAGTCTTTATTCAGTGGAATTTTAAAAGAATAATACATAAAAACGTAGACCTCAATAAGTAAAAAAATATATATTTTTTCAATGAATCCACATGGAAAAGAAGATGAAGGGATGAAGAACTGGAGCAAGCTGTCATACACCAGGGAGGGGTGTCCAATCTGACACTAAAAAATGAGCTACTTCCGAGAAGGGAGCCAGAAATCAGATAGCGAGCGACCATGAAAAGTGGAGACCGAAAGATCAGACGGAACATCAGAACAATAAAAATGAGCATAATAAATTGCAGTAGAGAGGAAAGGCAAATGAATACAATGAAGCTAATTTTGATGGCCAGCCTTTGAGGCCCCAGAAACAAAAGCATTTTCCAAAAGCTGGTGAATTCATCATGAAATAAATGTAGCAGCACTTCAAGGGCACATTAGACAGTGTCTGACTTGGGGTACAGCTGCACTGATTGGCAGTTTCTAAAACAGCTGTTGGAGCAGTTTGAGCAACATCGTGCCTAGAAACGCTTGAGAAAGTCACATACTGCACTTGGGCCCGAAGGCAGAGGCTGCCACTGTAATTTAGAATATCACCGAGGCAGGCAGTCAGGCATTCAGTGATGGAAATGCACATAGTCTGTGCCAGGGAACCTTGAAAGTATTATATTACAAATTAGGTTATACCCTGTGAAGTGATCTGCATATTGGTGGGACGGAGGTCACAGAACAAATTTATCCTTTATCCCAACTAAATAATTTGGGTGTATAAAGCTGTATCTGTTTTCTCTGAGTAGCGCCTGTTACTAGTGTCTGTCAAAGATACATTTGAAAACAGACAATAACTGACTAAAGGGAATAAATATATTTTCTGAGCATTAAACAAAAAGTAGAGGTAGCGCAATTACGAATGAGATTTCACTTTTGCGAAAATAACTTAGAACTTTCAAGCCATGGTAAGTTATTGTTATTTAGGATTGTAAACAATTTATAGTGGCCTCTCAACCTTTTCTAAGCAAGGTCTTCTATCCTACTCTAATTTTCCAGAAGGTTATTATAATTTTCTTAAAATTTGTACAAAACAACATGAGATGCATGTGGTCATAATTTGGGGACTCCCTTCGCAAAATGGCCTTTGGAAAACGTGTTTCTCTGATGGGAACACTCTATGGCCTATTAAAGGAAGAATTAAATTTATTCAAGAGGAATGTTTTACTTCCTGTAGAAAGTAAGTACACTAAATCATCTGCTACAAAGCAAGGCCTTCTGAGAAGTTCCTTGATGTTATCAAGTGTAAAATATAGCTATATTCAAAACATCCATGTATTTACCTCTCATATTTTTGCTTTTTTACCCCAAACAGGATATGACATAAATGATAAGTAACTATTGTAAGAAAATATGAGTAATTTGTAGGAATCATACATTAAAATGAGGACAGAAAGGAAAGGTTATAAATTTCAAAGGAATTAAAAATAAAAAGGAAAAAATGATTACTCCATCCACAAAACTGTTTTGAAATACAAGGTAAAATAGGGTCTTGATGTAATAAAGAAGCAATGAAGAAAAACGAAATGAGAGAACAGTTAAGCATCACAGTAACATCACTGGAGTACACATTATTTTCTGAGTGTGTTACTAAGTCCATTACAAACCTAGAGTTATTTAATGCTCTTAGCAGCTCCGAGACATAGGCACTCTCTATCCTCCCCATTTTTTTATAGATGAGGATGTTGAAGCAACACAATTAGAGAGAAAATGGTGGAAGACAGGCTTGAACCTGGTCCAGGAATATCGGGTTCCAGACACTGCGCAACCAACACCACGGGAAGAGTTAAAGACCCAGGGTTCCAACCCTGTTCATCTAGCCACCAATTCTGGGGCTGAGGATTTGCCCCTTTCTATTTACTTTTGAAGCTGATGACTTTAAAGTCCTCTAACTGTTGGAATTTTTATCATCAGTCGACCAGTATTTTCTTTTTATTAAAGTTTATTGGGGTGACAGTGGCTAGTGAAGTTACATAGGTTTCAGGTGTACAATTCTGTAATGCATCCTCTAGATATCACATTGTGTGTTCACCACCCAGAGTCAGTTCTCCTTCCATCACCATATAGTTGATCCTGTTTACCCTCATTTACCAGTATTTGTAGAATTAACTCTGGGGCATGGGGCCATGGGAGAGAGCCTTATGTTCACTAATAATTGCTTTGGAGTCCTACTCCCTTATTCCTTTCCAGTCTGTCCTTTTCCTTTTAAATGTCCTCAAAGTGTCCAGAGGGAGGCAGTGAGGTTAGCCTTATCCTAGATAGTGTTTGATTAAGGGCGAGTAATAGGTAATAGATCAAGACATCATTATGCTTATTTGCTGCTCTCTCGCTCAAAGTCTTTCCCAATTAATTACATGAATGAGTCACACTCACATTTTCAGACCCCTTGATAGGCTGTTGGTAGCAGCTAAAGCATCTATCTTGATGATGTAACACTGCTGAATGTAGCCTGTTACATTGAACTTCAGCTCTGAAGGTAAATTCTAGGTATATATAATATGCTTCCCTGCCTTAACACATACCAAGCAGGGAAGAATACTATATATGCTTAGAATATTTTCATAAGGAGTTCAAATAAACCTTTCTTGTGAAGCAATAACCTTTATTTACCTTAAAATAAATGAAGTTGCTTATTACCATTGATAAATTATAAAATTAAATTGTAAACAGTAATTCTGACATGATCATAGTATATTAGTACACTATGCTAAGCACTTTATATGCATTATCTTGATTAATTGCTTAAGCCAATGGAAACCTGATAAAGAAACATGAGACCATCAATGATTTGCAGAAGAAAAGCCAGTGTCTGCCAAATATATCCATAATATCTTGTTAATTTTTTTAAAAAGCAGCTCATGAAGCATGATCCCATTTTATAAATACATGATAGTGTAGATGTGTCAGTACATATAAAATTCAACACTAAATTTCAAAGAATAACTGGTTATGTATGGATGATATGGTAATAAGAAAAATATCTTCCTTGAGAAAAGTGTATTCTAAATTTCCTATAATAAACATGAGGATTTTTTTTTTCTAATCAGAGGTAGATAGACAGATAGACATATTATTTAAAAGAACGGACTTATTCCTAAGTACACACAAGCATGGAAATCCATCTCCTATGAACGTTTACTTATAAATGGTGTCTAATCACCTGACCGCCACTGAAATTTTTAGAGCTGAACATTATCAAGTGTTCTATTAGTTTTCTTGACTTATAGTCAAACTCAGCCCAACCCAGGCCAAAAAAATTTGGGCAGCAAAAGGAAAGTATGATTTCTGCTGAAACTACCTGATTCTAGTAGCAAGTGTTTTATCATCATAAGCAATGTAGTTTTTCCCATCATCTAAAGGCCAGTATTTGTTATGTTTCTGAGGTTAAAATGTTCCACGCATGAAATGATTAATTCGAGACATTCGCTCAGTTAACTTTTCCGTTTCATTCACTTATGTAGAATTTTTTTTTTTTAATCCCACATAAATCGTACAACTTACTCCCTTGGCTTTGTGCTCACAAGAACTCTGAGAGGTTTTCTGCTGTTTAAGCATGATTTCAGGAAGCAATCCACTTCACTGAAAGGTCTCATAAAAACTAGGTCACCATTAATAGCAAAAATCTTTTTCCCAACTTCCATGCCAGCCATCTAAGAGAGAAGAAGCAAAAAAAAAAATCAAATTATACTTTAATAAAGAATCTACTTTTCATAGAATTAGAATCTGAAAAGGTCTAGAACGCACAGCGTTTGACATTTTAACACATCGGCAATGTTTTCATACAACTTCACAACACAAAACTGTGAAAGAGATAGATATTGGGTTGTCGGAAAAGTCATGACGTATTTTTTCCATGTTTTTTGCTGCAAAAATGCGTCATGACTTTTCTGACAACCCGATAGTTATTTTCTCTGACCTAGTTCTAAATTTGATCACCCATCTTTACTGAAATTCTTCCCCTCCCTCCATGACTTGACACTGTACTCCCCTTCTGACCCTTTCTTCTGTTGTATTTTATAGTTCTTTTTCTTATTTCATCCTTTTAACTATAGTCAAACCCAGGTTAATTGTTTTGACTGTGTTTTCCATCTATATCCAATTCACTCAGAGTTTCAATCTCAGTAAAGACATAGATGACAACCAACTAGGCATCGCTAGCCTAACAGAGCATAAGTGTCTCCGGGGCAAAGAGAAGAATGACCTGGAATCCAAGGACGAGTGTTCCAATGAGCATAGATTGCAAGATGCCAAAAAGATGACAAAGAAGACATTATCTCTCCAGCCAATCAGACCACTCTTCTAAACCAACCCTACTGCCTATAAACTACGTGCTGCATTTGGTTGTCAGATAAATGATGCAAACCTGGGAGAAGGCGTTTTATCAGCAGCATGATCAGAAGAAGCTGTGCTCCAAGAACATCCTCTGAAAATGTCTGCGAGAAACACTTCCTTCTCACAGAAAATTGCTAAAAACAGTCATTTGTTGGCCAGGCTCTCTAATAGAGTATGCGTTGACTAGGGAGTTATTGTGTTTGACATTATGTGCTGTACACAAAGCTTTGTTTTGCATGAATTTTGTGTTTTGGTAAAAGATAAGACAACATTGGGCACGAGCAGAGAGGAGGATGAGCAACAGTTTACTACTGACTTTAAATAGGTCCGAAGTTAAATGCCATGCTGCAGGCATTCTCATATTCTTTATTAAAGATTTAAATATTGAGAAGTTTGCTGGAGGATTACGTATCCTACAAGCCAGGCAGCAAGGTGAGAATACCTCAAATTTGATAAACCTCATATGTAACACTGCAACGTAGGTTCCTTGAGGGCAGGGGATTTTGTCTATTTTGTCCCTTACTATATTCCCAGAGCCTAGAACATGCCTAGCATATAATAGGTACTAAATAAATATTTCTGAATGAATGAATGAATGAATGAATGATCAGGAGATTTCTTTGGTGAGGTGAGAGAACATGAATCAGCATTAACTCGATAAGAAAATAAGTCAAACCATGTGCTTACTGATGGAAGTTGTATTTATATGACAGTCAACAGTGATAGGAAAATAGAAGAAACCCTTGAATTAATTAATGTAAGAGCCATCTGACATGCATAATACAACCCCACCCTATCCAGTCTCCTTAGGATTCCAGGCTAGAATCAGTAAACAAGGAAGTCCCAGGGGCATGGGATGAGCCATTTGGCCTCCCAGTGAGGTCAAGAAGTTCACTGCCAGAGGTATTTCCCATACCTCCCCTCCTCATCTATTCCTGAATGCCCAGATGTGGGCCCCCTCTGACACAAATCCCAAGAGTATTTGGTAGAACCTCAGAATACGATTATTCAGAAACAATATTTTCAATAGAGATGCTTAAAGGCTGATTTTAGTCTGTTTAGAACTTTTACAATTATATGCCATGGACAACAAATTTAAATAAAAGTGCTAATTTATATTACCTCAGCATTAGACCCCTTTTCTACCAACTTAATTATTGGCACTTTATTTTTGTCTTCTAACCCAAAACCATAGCTGCCTTCATTGGATTTAATCTGAAAGGCAAAATATTAACATTATTAATAAAGGGAGAAGGAAAAAAGGTTGCAAATAAAACAGAATGAAATAACATGCATCATTCTCAGATACGTTTGTGTACTCTCCTGCTAATGTCAAATCAAGACAACGTACATAACATAGTCATAAACTTACCAATAATGATTTAGCTATAACATTTTCCACAACTTTTAAATCATGTTTCATAAGTCGATGTTTCATATTGGATCCTTCCATTTCCTCATCCGCAAAAAAACGGAAAAGTAGGGGTTCATCTTTGAATTCACTTTTTTCAAGGACTATGGAAACAGAGAGAGATGCAACTTGTTTCAATTAATCCAAAAATCAAACTCTTTGTCCATACCAATAGGCATTCAGTAAACTGACACCTGTGCCATGGCCTCAATGTTATACTCCTAGTTGCTTACATTTACAAATATCCCTGATATTTTTCTATTTCCATAATTTCTAGCCCTGTTTTCTTTACATTACTGTTACTTAAAAGATTCTGAATTTTTCATGTAAGTTGTATTTTTTCATTGACTTTTTTGTATTTAACCAAGTCTTTCACTTCCCAGATTAAAACCTAAATTTAAAAAAAAACATTATAGTGAATCAAAAAAATATACAATCCAAAACAGAAATCTACAGTGTTTTGAGTTTGTAGTAAACATTTTAAGTATGTTTTTAATATCCTGCACAATTATGGGAAAATCCAAATGAGTTAACTGTTGTCTTTGTATGTATGAGTAATTACCATTGTGGTTGCTTTGTTCTAACACTTGAAACCAGAACTATGTCTTCTGTGTGAAATGTGATTTTAGTTTCCACTCATTCCTACTTCTTTTCTGTTTAAAAGCATTATTCTCAAATAACCTTATTTCTGCAAAGGTCAGTTTTTTCCCCCTTTTATCTTAACATTAATATTTTTCCCCAAATCCCTAAGATTCTTGGCATGCCCTAAAGATACAAGGTGTATATTTTATAAGCCCTTTTTAAAATAAGGCTTAATACTGGTAGAATTTGTATTCAGTGAGCTCCTGACAGCAGTCAAAATGTGTTAAAAGAGAAATCTTCTCTATTTCCATTTATCTGTCCTCAGTTCCTTGAAGAGTACTTGTTGGGACAGGTTGATTCATTGAGCCAGGGAGCGAAATTGAAGGCAGTGGCCCATGGCACAGTAGAAAGTTAAGGCTTTATGATGAGACAGGCCTGCATTTAAATTCCAGTTCTGGGATTGATTCTGGGTGTAACATTGGAACAGTTACTTAAACTCTTAGAACCTCAGTTTCCTCATCTGTGAAAAACGGAGGCCATAAAGCCTTCTTCATAATGTGGTACAAAACTAAAATGAAGTAACAACTATAGATAACTTGACATAGTGTTAGCAACAAGAAATGATAGCTATTTCATCATTCTTACAGAGTTCCCAGTAATAACTGTTGACCAGATGTATGTATGTATCGATCTTTGGATGGAAGAATGTCTGGCAATGTGAGTTAACAAACGAAACTATCGACCACAAATTAAAAAGAAGCACAAGTCATAACTGACAATAGAAATGAGAATATATTTGCGATCAAGCTGGGTCTTTTCTACATGGCCTAAGCAGTTTCCCAAAACTCACGTGGTGTTTGGTTACTGTTTTCCTCCATGAAATAGTCTATCTAAAGGAGTGAGCAGGGACATCAAGAAGGCCAGCATGAGTCAAACTGGTTGTGATTTATTGACAGAGACTTTTGCTAGGAAAACTCAATATTTCAAAATAAATGTTGAGATCAAATTATGACTTACTACTGCTTGTTTTCCACTTGATATGACAGCTTTAATTCCCTATAATGATATCATTTCTTCTATTCAATAGTTTCCTGTTCGAGGACCAATGCTTCGCTATCATATCTGATACAGTACTCTAGTGGAATGTAATGGAATTCCCAAAGGAATATACGATAACAAGGATTTTCTCAAAATTGCTGTAACTATTGTTGTAGTTCCTTCTTCATAGAAAGGTAACAACCTTCGGAAAGTAATTGACAAATAGATACAAGTGCTATCAAATACATGTCTATAAGCATGTATATATTAACAATAAAAACAGACTGAGTTTATGGAATCTTTAAGATGGAATGAATAGAGAGGGAAAACTAAGTGCCATTATTTTTATAAATTTAAAAGGAATAAAGTCATCCAACAAGAAAAAAAAAATCAGGCTGAGCGCGTACGGAGGACGACATCGTAGTGGCAGTGGAGGCTGAAAAGGCGACGGGACTGTTGCCTCTGGTGCAGGTGGAAAGCGGAGCGAGAGCGGCGGCTCCAGAGCCCGGAGTTCCCAAGGAGATTGCAGACGTTTCTCCCCAGTCTGATAAAACCCCAAGGCCCTCACCATGGACTTCCAGCATCGCCCCGG